AGAACCTAACCAGACGGTGGCTCTGTGTCTCCACAGCCTGAGGGACTGGAGCAGAGCTTCTCCACCTCCATGCTCTTTGAGGTCTTCCCGTACCAGCCCACCGTCTCCAAAAATGTGCAGTTCATTTTCCCACCAGATGTTGTGGAGGGGAGCCAGAGAGTGACAGTGACGGCTGTAGGTACGTACGGGAGAGAGGAACCTTTTCTAAAAGGAAGTCACGTTGTGTTTCCTTCAACACTTTGTCCTTTTAAACAGGCGACATCTTGGGTCCATCCATCAACGGCCTGGAGTCTTTGATCAAACTGCCGTACGGATGTGGAGAACAGAACATGATCAACTTTGCTCCGAACATTTACGTCCTACAGTATCTGGAGGTCACAGGTCAAACCACCACAGACATCAGGAGGAGAGCAATACAGTCAATGAACAGTGGTGAGGAAGATGAGGATGAAGATGAAGATGATGATGATGATGATGATGAAGATGATGGTGAAGGGAACACTGGTCCACTGTTGCCTCCTGTGGTCAGTTTGTGCCACTGAGGTTAATGTGAACTCAGTGATGGAGGTAACAGTGACCCCCCCCTCCCCCCCCCCCCATGGTTACTAACAGCTGTTTATTTCATCTTGAGGTTACATGCAGGAGCTGAGCTACCAGAGAAGAGACGGTTCCTTCAGTGCCTTTGGAGACAGCGACCCCTCTGGCAGCACCTGGTGAGGTTTTCATATGAACAGAAACTTCTTTTTTTCCCATCAAAACCTCAGTTATCTTTTGTTTTATTCTCATCTGTGGATTATTGGCAAATGTAATGTTGTTTCCTTCTGTTTTTGGCTAACCATTAGCCTCTCGTGCTTTGGTCACTTTCGTCTCAGTCCTAGCTGTTTGTTTGTTTGTTTGTTTGTTTGTTTGTTTAACCCTGTGCTCATTGTTAGTCTTTTTGGCTAAAACTGTTTGAATCTTTTCTGATTCTTTGTTGATACATTTTCATTTACTTCTGACTTGGAAATACTGATGGATATACTAACCGACGCCCCCTGCAGGTTGACAGCCTTTGTGATACGCTGTTTCATGCAAGCAAAGTTGTTCATCGTTATCGACCAAAACGTCGTGCGAGTGTCGGGGAATTGGTTATCGTTTCAACAGGCGGCCGACGGGAGCTTCCTGGAGCCCGGCCGGGTCATTCATACAGAGTTGCAGGGAGGCCTGGGTGGTTCCACCGCCCTCACGGCCTACGTCCTCATCGCCCTGCTGGAAGTCAATGAAACATCGGTGAGAGACTAGAGGTTGTTAGTGGAACAACTGTTTACTGAAACAACAAAGCACAGACTCTAGAACAGTACCAGAACAGGTTTGGGTCAGAGTGAAATGGAACAAATGAACCTCAGTCTCCCACACCAGGGTCCATAGAGAAAATCAGAGATTTTAGTTCAGACCAAAGTCCATGAAGAAAATCAGAGATTTTAGTTCAGACCAAAGTCCATGGAGAAAATCAGAGATTTTAGTTGAGCCCAAAGTCCATGGAGAAAATCAGAGATTTTAGTTGAGCCCAAAGTCCATGGAGAAAATCAGAGATTTTAGTTGAGCCCAAAGTCCATGGAGAAAATCAGAGATTTTAGTTGAGCCCAAAGTCCATGGAGAAAATCAGAGATTTTAGTTCAGACCAAAGTCCATGGAGAAAATCAGTGATTTTAGTTCAGACCAAAGTCCATGGAGAAAATCAGTGATTTTAGTTCAGACCAAAGTCCATGGAGAAAATCAGTGATTTTAGTTCAGACCAAAGTCCATGGAGAAAATCAGAGATTTTAGTTCAGACCAAAGTCTATAGAGAAAATCAGAGATTTTAGTTCAGACCAAAGTCCATGGAGAAAATCAGTCAATCACAGATAAGTGATTTCTCTGTGGACTTTGGTTCAGGAACATCAACATTCAGGAATGGTAATGCCTTGAGGAGATTTACCTTGTTTTGTCACATCTTTGTGAACTAAGATTTAAAAGAGAGTCTCTCACTGCTGCCCTCTGTTGTCCGTTTGTCAGAACACGTACCACACACAGGCTTCTGCGGCGCTGATGTTCCTGGAAGAACGTCTGTCTGAATCGTCAATCTCCAGCACCTACGTCCTGAGCCTGGTGGCCTACGCCCTGTCTCTGGCCCAGAGCCCTAACGCCCACATGGCGGTGAACGAGCTTATTGGGCGGGCCTCGATCACAGGTCAAAGATCAACAAGAAGCAAAGGACAAAAAAGACAAAATTAGCCAAAAAATGCTCACAGATTTGTTAGAAAATGATAGAAAGTTGACCAACAAACTGTCATCCAATCACACTGAGGGTTTGTGTTCTGGTGTTTTGAGCAGACGGCGTCCCCTTGTGGTCACCACTGTCACCCAGGGAGCCTCGCTCTGCAGACATCGAGATGGTCTCCTACCTGCTGCTCTCCCTCTACAGACTGGAGCGGATCTCAGAGGGCGTGGCCATCATGAAGTGGCTGAGTCAGCAGAGGAACTCCTTTGGAGGATACGGAAGCACTCAGGTCCAGAACCATCAACATGGACCCCTCCTCCTGGTCCCAGTGTTGGAGGCGGAGTCAGACTCTTCATCACTGTTTTCTTCATCATTGTTTTTCATGTTCAGGACACAGTGGTGGCGCTGCAGGCCCTGTCCACGTTTGCGTCACATGGTGGCGCAATCACCAACAACCTCAACCTTGAAGTTCTCAGAGAAGATGGGGAGAGAGTGGCGGTGTTCTTCATCCACCAGGACAACTACCTGCTGCTGCAGAGTGACCAGGTTCACACCAACACTGCTCTGCTTTCTGTCACTCCAGTTATTTTGTATCTTTGCGTTTTCAGAATCTGAATTTTAAAATAAATTTAAACATATTTTTTATCTATCTTTATTCATTAGTTCAGCCAATCAGCTCCATTTTAGTTGTTACACTGGAAACAGTCGTTGAAAGTTTTGAAGACAGGTTGTTTTTGATGGTTTATCCACTGGGGGGCGGCAGAGGACGTCCTACCTCCCGCCCTCTGCTGTGACAGGAGGATTAGTTTCAGATCTCCAGGTGTGCTCACTGTGGTGTGTGTGTGTGTGTGTGTGTGTGTTCACAGCTCGACCCAGAGCCCCCGCAGCAGTACACGGTGACGGCCAGTGGACAGGGACTGGCTGTCTTTCAGGTGAGACCCTGAGACTCCTCTGTCATACTGTATGTTGGTCCACTCTCTGGTCCCCGTCCGTCTCCGTCTCCGTCTCCTGGTGCCGTGTTCACGTGTCGTCCTTCTTTGTAGCTCAACGTATTTTACAACATTAAAAGCGAAGAGCTGATGCGCAGGAAGCGCGAGGCGCAGGACGACGAGGCGTTTAACCTGCACGTGGAGCTGCACGACCTGGAGAAGGAGGATTCGCCGCAGCTGTTCATCTGCACCAGGTGACCATGACAACAGAGGAGCACAGACAGGACGAAAACATGGTTCCTGTGCTGACTTTCTCCACGGACTCTGGTCCTCCTTGTCCTTCCAGCCTGTCGGAGTCTTCTGGTCTGAACTCCACTGGCATGGCCATCCTGGACATCGGTCTGCTGAGCGGTCTCAGTCTGGCACAAGATGGAATCCAGACGAACGAAGTGGTGAAGAAGGTGGAAACGGAGCCGGGGAAAGTCATCGTCTACCTGGATTATGTAAGAGTGTGTGTGTGTGTGTGTGTGTGTGCGTGTGTGTGTGTCAGTCATTAACGTCACTGTGTTTCCAGGTGACCACAGCTGACCTGTGTCTGACCGTCCCACTGGTGCCTGACCACAGAGTGGCCAAAGTCCAGGGGGCCGTGGTATCTGTCTATGACTATTATGAACCAGGTGAGGTCGCTGTTCTGGGCGTGACGGGGGTTTGAGCACCACATTAACCACGGTGTTCCTCAGGGTTGAACACTGCTGTTCTCAGAAGAACACTTGGATGAGCCCGAGGTGTAACTAGGATTTAGAAGAATTCAACTATATTATTAGAATGATTCAATATAATAAATATAAATATATATGTATATAAATATGTTCTGTTTTGTTATGGCCTGGTTTAGCTGGCTCTTTTTTTCCTAAAATGAGCCTTTTCTTTTTATTGTAGCCTGTTCAAATTCTAGCCAATGTTCGTTGTTGTTAACGTCAACACGTTGACTGGGCAGCTGCTCCGTTAACTGTGGGGTTCCACAGGGTACCGTCTGTGGAGCCGCTGCTTTCCCCACTTTGAAATGTGTCCAATGTCCCGGCAGCTCGGAGGACGGTGAGGGTGTACACGTCAGAGTGGCGGACCTCATCATCAGTCTGCTCCTTCTGTGGCGAAGACTGCCAGCAGTGCAGCACCGAGTACGACGACGACGACGACCACTACGATTTCCCGTCTTCGCGTGGCAGCAGGTTATTGTCTGCTGTGCCGCTCGTCACCCTCCTGGTGGTCATCCTGGGCCTGTGAACAATCCACCTGAGAAAAGTCTGACTGGTGAACTGTACAGTGTGTGGCCTTTTATTAGACACATTTTTAAATTTCTGTTGAGTCTTTTGTTCTGTGTCTCACAGGATAATAATAAACTCTGTACTATATTACTGTTGTACTCTGTATTTGTGGAGAACCTCAGTATCTGTCAGCGTGTCATTTGTTAATAAATGACAAAAGTTCTCAACTCACATTTCTCTGATCCGAACCGTGATTTCCAGCACCGAGACAGGTCACTCACGAGCTAACGGTAGCTCACGAGCTAACGGTAGCTAAGTAGTATCTTGTCAACGGGCTAATGAATCATACATCAGTTTGAACACTTAATTGGTCGCCTGGCAAGTCATCTTAAATTTTTATCCAATCAAAATGGACTGTGGTCCCGCCCCCTTCCAACACGATGATGATTTACCATAATACGCATGTGCGCCACACAAAAATGCAGTGAAGACAAGAACACGGAACAATCATTTCAGGAACATTGTTGTCAATAACACAGAAATAACCAGACAACAGGCTACAAGATTATTGATATTTTATCTGTATGTTTTGTCTGTTTAACGTACAATAAAGTTAAGTCATGGATCAAAATCACGTTTTTTGGTTAGTTTTCGTCGTAGATATGGTACTTTCAGCAGTTTTGGTGGACATTACACAGATGATTCATATTTTGGTTCATATTTTAACGTTTTGTCTTGTTTCTGTGATGTTGTTTTTATTTTTCTGATCCAGTTGTGTGGAAAAATAAGGTGAGAGTTAAAGAAAGTGTTACATATTTTATTTATTCTGGATCATTCGTTCGTGACTAAATGTAGTGGTCCTTGGTCTAGTGGTCAGAGAGGTGGTCTTCTCAGTGAAGGGTCGCTGGTTTAAATCTTGTTGCTGGAAATAGACCCGATAAGCTTTTATTTCTTCTATACAATGTCGCCCTCTGCTGACTGAAAGGAGCACTTGTCATCTCCAAGTGTTTGACAGTCGTCATGACAGATAAACTTAGCAGCTTTAGCTGCACAGATTTAAACAGTAGAACAGTTTTTAGTCTGTTTTATCATCCTTCTTCATGATCTGATGTTTAGGTTATGACTGAAAAACAACAGTCTCAACCTTTAATAATTGGCTCCTGTCGGGGGAGGTGGGGGGCAGATGTGATTTGTGAACTGGGGGGCAACGCTATCAGCAATACCAACAGACTATTAACAATAATAGCTCATCATCCAATCACTGTTACAGTATGCGCCATCTACTGGACACAAAATTAACACCATTTACCTGCAGTGGTGGCTTGTAAAAACATTCTAGGTGGCGCTGTGCCATATTGCACCAGTTTCAGTTACTCGGCCAGAACAATTGATCACAACCAGCAGGATACCGCTGTCAATTAGCAATTACTGATTAGTTGATGCCAATATCAGTCGAGTCTTTCTTACACAAAAAGTTTTTGCATTTGAAACTGAACATATAAACAAATGACTTAATCATATTTACAGATTTTTACACACAAGGCTGGTGACTGTTACAACAGTGCCCCCTTGTGGCCCAGGTGCGTATCTACGCATATGAAAACTTGAGTTATCCACTCCCTCATGACAAATGAACCGACCATAAACATGTGGCTGGAAAAACCGACAAGAGTTCAAGTCTGCTCTCTGCAACCGTGTTGTTTAATTACACTGGTTCTAATGACGTCAATGAAGTACATGAACACCTTCACCTGTCACTCAAACGCAGCGTAACGGTAACCTGATAAACCAGTAACATTAACGTTACGTGGTTAATAACAAACCAGTAACCATCCTGTGTGTATTTTTCTACGTTTGTCGTTAGCCATTAGCTAATAGCAGCCTAATAGCAGACCTTTTTACGTCATGTCAACGTCACACAAAGCAAACAACTGTACAATATTCGTTAAAGTGACTCACCTCTGTTGTAGGTTTACATCTGACGGATAAAGTTGGACGTCGTTGATCCAGAATCTTTGATTTTAATACACTTAAAGGCCAGACTTAGCCCTCTGGGCTTCGTTTGTTTTCATTAATTAAAGCAGCTGCGGGTAGCCAGAGATTGTGACGTCATGTCTTTTCTCGCACACTTTATTATTATTATTATTATTATTATTATTCTTTATTGTCATTACACCACGGGGATACAACATAATTGTTTAAAAAATTAAAAATCACGTATTATTACTGACTGCTCTGGTTCTGCTCTACGTCACTGAAACGTTAGCTATCAGGGTGTACGCTGAACGCTAAGCTAACGACAAAATAATCGATATCATGAAGGCACATTTTTCCTAACGGCCGACGGTTTGAACCAAACAGTAAACAGAGCGTTTGGGGAACAGATTCTCTTCTTACCGCAACAGGATCTCACAGGTTTGACGTAGAGGTTTTAAAAAGCTATAGCTCTGTCCACCGGAACGCCTCTGCTTAGAACAGGTTAGCTTAGCAAGACAAGCTATTTTAAACACACCATTCCTCTGGCGGAAAAACAAAATGTAGCCATGTATATAATTGATGCTAAAACGTCCCAAAACGACGTCTTAGCTTCAGGCCCAGCTCTGAGAATGAAACAGACGGAGGCGTGAGAACATTTTCAGTAGTTTTATTGTAAAAAGCGTCTCCTCTTTACAGAAATAAATAAGAAAATACGGTTGTGAAGTTCACAATCTGCAATTTTTATCTTTATCCATAAACCACAGTGGCGAGAGCGCAATATGCTGCCCCCACAGGTTTCTACTGGAACTTGCATTCATCAGTGAGACAATGAGAATGATGACATGAGGACAAGTCTATTCTGGTTATAAACAAAAGACAAACCAAGTAAATATACACCACAGACATGCAAATGTAGCTGTGACGGAGTAAGGTCGCTAAATACAGGATAGAAACATGAGAACGCTGTTATACTGAGAGTGACCACACGGAGCGCTTGTTATCGTAAATATACTGAGCCAACATTGACACAAAAACAAGACACGTCAAACTCAGTTACCTCCGACTTGGACTCTGTTCGCTCACATATACCTGATGCTCCTGTTACAATAAAAAAAAAAAAAAAAAAAAACAATAAAAAAAACCCCAACATTTTTCATTTCAGCCTAAAACTTTGCTCTAGAAACTGTTTATATATATATAGTTATATATATAAAGAGTATAAAAGTGTGTAGAAATCCTAAAAAAAACAAGGTTGAACAAACAAAACGAGATTTTATTTTACGACGTTAGCCTGTCTATTATTTTTCCCGTTAATGACCTCTTTCTGCGATGCTGCGTAGACTCCTCCTCCTCGGGGGCGGGGACAAGCTGGATGCTGCGTTCAGGACCAAATCGGTCTGCTCAGAAAAAAAGACATGTTTTTGCATAAAAACTATCTTTTGCAGATTTTTTTGTCTTCAAATACTAAACCTTACTTAATGCAAAAGTTGCTTCAGATAACCAACAGGGGGCGTGTTCATAACTCAGTGATTTGCTAAAATATTTGCTGGTGGCTTCTCCCTCATTTTTAAATATTCATGCATGTTTAGCTTCGTTGGTCATTCACTCCTACATTCGGTTTCTTTAGCTAACCCTTAGCCAGTTCACGAAGAAAAAAAAAACAAAACAAATCAAACAAATCTTATGACAAAGGATATGCTGCTTTGCTACTAGCTTTGCTACTAGCTTTGCTACTAGCTTTGCTACTAGCTTTGCTAGCTTTGCTAGCTTTGCTACTAGCTTTGCTACTAGCTTTGCTACTAGCTTTGCTACTAGCTTTGCTACTAGCTTTGCTACTAGCTTTGCTAAGACTTGATTATTTCTTGGGTTGTATGGCTAACATTAAGCTATCTTTGCTGTTTGGTGCAATGCTAATTTGAAGTATTCTAATTGGCTGACCCACTTTTAACTATCACTGTGTTCAGGTGGAGACTAATTAAACTTATTAAGTATTATTAAAGTACTTTATACTACATTATCTCCGTGGCTAATGTGTAGCCAGACTTTGTGCTAACCCATATTTATTTATTTAACACCTGGTGCTTAAGTCAGTTGTTATGAACACACAGGCTCACATGAAGTTAGCTTAGCCTTTAGCTACAGAAGTCTGACTGGAGGATTTCCTCTGGAGTTGGTTGAACTTTAACGCTTAGTTGACGAGCGTTGACCACATGAGAAGTTCAATGAGAAGTTTGTGTTGTTTGTGTCCAGGCCTGAGGTCATGTGATCAGTGACAGAGTTACAAATGTGAGCAGGAAAAGAAAGGGATTAAAATATAAATATAAATGAGCCGGTGGTTTGTCAGCAGGTTTGTTGTAGCGAAGCGTTAGCTTAAAAAAAAAAAAATTTACAAGGAAGAAAAAAAACAAAACAAATTAATTTATTTACAGGTGGACGACAACAAACAGAGCTGCTGTTACTGCTGCTGCTGTTACTGCTGCTGCTGTTACTGCTGCTGCTCATGTTTGTTTTGTTTTGTTTTAGTGAAAGTTGCAGATGGTGGTCATCATGTTGCTGCTGCTGTTTGTGAGTTGATGTTAGTACACGTGTCCTCACTGCTGCTGCTGCTGCTGATGATGCTGATGCTGTTGCTGCTGAAGGTTTGAGTTTGTGAGTTTAAGGCGTTTTTGTTTTTTCTTTCAGGAAGTCAGCGAAAAGCGGCAGAGGAGTCAGAGAGAGGGATTACTGTGAACCTGGAAGAGTTAGAGAGGACCAGGATCAAAACAGGTGAGAAACACTGACATCTACCTGCAGATACTGGTATGACCATCCAGTGATAGAAGAATTGATTGTTTGACATGAATTCATCTTTGATCCACATTCTCATAAACAACTAAAATGTTTTGGATTTTTCAGGACCCTCCAACCCCCCGTCAGCCCAGTCGGGCCTGGTTCTTACCCACGTATCCCTGTCCGTTGTAAGGAATTCCCACGCACTGAGAGGAGTCACAGTATCCAGGAGGTCCTGGAGGACCACGGATACCGGCATACCCTGAACGTCCAGGAGGACCCCGAGATCCAGCAGAGCCCGGAGGCCCTGGAGGTCCGGTTCTGCTTTCTCCTGGGGGACCTGAAGGCACCGCAGAGAACTGTGTTAGGAACTGAACCTGGTTCAAATGCAGGGAGCTAATGACAACTGGTGGGATCGGTACCAGCGGGTCCTCTGGATCCTTTCTGTCCCACAGCTGAAGGTCCACGTTCACCCTTCTCTCCTGCAGGACCTGGATGTGGAGACACACAGCTCACTGTGGGAAACTGCATGGTGTGAAGAACTGGGTCTGGGACAGAACCTGGAGGTCTGAAGTTCTTACCTCTCTCTCCCTGCTGCCCTGGTAAACCTGGACTTCCTGGGAAACCGTTTCTTCCTGCAGAACCAGGCTCCCCACGGGGTCCCTGTCTGCCTGGAGGTCCGGGGGGTCCAGCTGGACCCGGGCTGTTGCTGCTGTGACGGTACTCCCCATTGGGAATCCGGTTGATTATCGACTCGACTCGACTCATTTGTGCTGCGATGAAGAAAAAACAAACGACGGAAACGATGAAAACAGAGAAGAAGAAGAAGAAGAAGAAGAAGAAGAAGAAGAAGAAGAAGAAGGAGGAGAAGAAGAAGGAGAACCTACCAGACACCAGCTGCTCACACACTTGTCGAGCGATGGATCTCATCATGTTCTGAGGAGCAAAGTCACCCTGGGTGGAGAGGAAACTCTGGGTCAGAGTTGATTCTGTCTCCACCTAGTGGTGATAATCTCAGACCACAGCTGTAAAGTGCAGCAGAATATCATACAGAAAGACCAGCTGCTGCAGCTGGGGACTGAACCTCTGACCTTCTTTCTGTAAGGCAGGACCACTAACCACTGCATATATACTAGAAGTACGACCCAGAACACTGACAGCACTCAAAGGATGCTAAATCACATATAAGCTACAAGAACGCTACAGGTTAGCCACAGGTTAGCTACAGGTTAGCTACAGGTTAGCCACAGGTTAGCCACAGGTTAGCTACAGGTTAGCTACAGGTTAGTTACAGGTTAGCTACAGGTTAGTTACAGGTTAGCTACAGGTTAGCTACAGGTTAGTTACAGGTTAGTTACAGGTTAGTTACAGGTTAGCTACAGGTTAGCTACAGTTTAGCTACTCACTCTCTCTCCTTTGTCTCCCTTGAGGCCAATGGCTCCCTGGAAACAGAAACACAACATAAGCTGAAGAAACTGATGAGACCTGGGAGTACACAGTACACAGTCCACAGTACACAGTCCACAGTACACAGTACACAGTCCACAGTCCACAGTCCACAGTACACAGTCCACAGTACACAGTCCACAGTCCACAGTACACAGTACACAGTACACAGTCCACAGTACACAGTACACAGTCCACAGTACACAGTCCACAGTACACAGTCCACAGTACACAGCACACAGTCCACAGTCCACAGTACACAGTCCACAGTACACAGTACACAGCACACAGTACAAAGTACACAATACACAGTACACAGGGATACTCACAGGAAGACCAGTGTCTCCTGGTTTACCAGGATGTCCTGCTGTACCTGGAACTCCAGGAGATCCTGGAGGACCCTGGAATGACAGGAGAGAGTAACTGTAGCAGGAGGAGTGAAGGAGAAGTTTTTTTATGTAGTATCAACAAATATTGTCTTTAAACTGTGACGTAGTATCTGTTACTCTGATACTTCTGACATCTCCTTCAATTTACAACCATTTCTAAACCATTTTCTGTGACGTTTCTTTGTTTTTCTTCTCCTGTCAGTGAAGGTTTGGTGTGAACTGAGCGCTGGACCACCTGGTCCAGTACCAGTGACTCTCACCATGGGTCCTGGAGGGCCTCTGGGGCCGGCCGGTCCGTCTTTACCCTGAGGACCCTGAGAGGAGAAGACAGAGGTCAGGAGGAGTCCTGGGTCGGTTCTGGGTCACAGCAGAACCAGCACACAACTCACCCTCACTCCCGCTTTCCCAATGGGTCCCACGGCACCAGAGGCACCAGGTGAACCCTGTGGACACCAAGAGAGCAGCAGAGTCAGAGGCAGAGTCAGAGTCAGAGACTGAGTCAGAGACAGAGTCAGAGTCAGAGCCGGAGTCAGAGACAGAGTCAGAGGCAGAGTCAGAGGCAGAGTCAGAGACAGAGGCAGAGTCAGAGTCAGAGTCAGAGGCAGAGTCAGAGGAAGAGTCAGAGTCAGAGACAGAGTCAGAGACAGAGTCAGAGTCAGAGCCGGAGTCAGAGACAGAGTCAGAGGCAGAGTCAGAGTCAGAGTCAGAGACAGAGGCAGAGTCAGAGGCAGAGGCAGAGTCAGAGGCAGAGGCAGAGGCAGAGTCAGAGTCAGAGTCAGAGGCAGAGGCAGAGGCAGAGTCAGAGGCAGAGTCAGAGGCAGAGGCAGAGGCAGAGTCAGAGTCAGAGTCAGAGACAGAGTCAGAGGCAGAGTCAGAGTCAGAGACTGAGTCAGAGACAGAGTCAGAGGCAGAGTCAGAGTCAGAGTGTGAGACGGACCCCCAGGATCTGGACTCGTTCTGCGATGCCTGAGCTCACAGGAAACCTAATTGAGTCCAGATCTGTTTTTATAGTTTTTCATAAATCTGCCTCGGTCCCACATGTGGCTCGTTTCACCTGCGACCGGGCCCCACATCGTCGGCGCTAATGACATCATTGATGACCTCATCAAAGACAGAATGTGTTGTCACGGAGACAGGATTAAACGACCATTTCTATGAGGCTGAGTGATCTGAAAGTTCTTCAGCTCAGTACCAGACGTCAGAGGAGGAGGAGGACGAGGAGGTGCAGGT